TCTCCATACTCCCATAAGTTCCAAGGTTCCCAGAACCCCGAGAGATCCCACAATTCCCAAAATTCCAGAATTCCAAGTTCCTCAAAATTCGATCCTTAACGAGACGTTCCTCCATCTTCCATACTCTCCAAACTCCTCATCCCCGTCCAACTCCAGCAACGCTCACAATTTTTCAAACGCGTCGAACCCACGTTAGTTCCCAGAAAAATCCTGCGGCCCCGAAAATTCCAGAATCCCGAAATTCCCGGCATTCCCGTAGTTCACGAACCTGCCAAGTCAGTTCGGTGATGGATGGCCAGTCAGGCGTACCGGGCGCGTTTATGGAGCCGCGAGGCGGGCCATGCATCAAACCGCGTTTCTCGAAACCGAAGCCGCGCGCGCGTCGCGTCGCGTCGCAGTCCGTTGGCCGCGCGCGGGATTTCGTTCGCAGGTGTCCCGGCCCCCTTTTCTTTCGTCCTTTTGGCCGTTCGGAATCCATTTGACCGTCGTCGATCAACGAAATATATTTGCGGTCAGTTTCCCCGATACGCAGCCGGGACTCGCCGACGTTTCCCCTGGCGGGGAGCCATTGTTTCCGAGCGGCGAGGGGCCGGCCGCGCTCGCGCGGGGCGGATTTATCGGGCGGCGCGAAAAAAGAGAAGCATAAATCCAGCGGGAAGCGTAATATCAACGGGTTCTGTCATTCGCGCGGAAAAACCCTATGAAAAGTGTATTTATCGCGTCCTCTCCCGTCGCAATTCCGGACAATACGGTCGCGCACGCGCCGCCGCGCCGCAGCGTTTAATGCGCGCAACGTCGCGATCCCGGCCAATTCCATAAATATTCAGGCCGCGCGGCGGAGCACACACTGTTATCCATAAATAAATTCCGCTCGTTCCGTTGATCCCGGCTAATTAATCGCCGGCTTCTGTTCTAACGCGATCCGACCCGCCGCCGCCGCCGCCGCCGCCGCTGTCGGCCCCCGCCCGCCGTCCCTCTCGATACATACATATTTCCGACTGAGTAATTAGGTGCCTGCATTTCCTCGGAAGTCAGCCGCTGTAACACCGCCGCCGCTCGCGAACTTTGCGACTGTTCGCTGGATCGTGGAATTCAATTAAACCGGACAAATTGAATCGCCGCCGGTTTTTCGCCGGATCGTCGATGTTTCGGATCCTCGGATTCGCGTGTTGCGCTCGATAAGAGGACTCGGGGCGTTTAAAAAAAGCTACAGCGCTCGGAGCTCCCCGAGTGTGCGAGAAACCGTGTATTCGAATTTAATATTCGGAACGCTTAACGAACGTCTCCCTTTGAAAGCTAATTTAACGCGCTGCTAAGTGCCGTTAGGACTCCCGGCTCTTTAAATACTCCCCGATGACTCCGGGGAGTCTAAGGATCGAGATTATCCCAGGATTCGAAGGACTTAGAGTATCCTCGAGAAACCCGCGAACTGCGAGCGTTCGTCGACTCCGTGGACTCCGAAATCTAGTCGCTCGATTAAAACAATTAAACCGCGAAATCCACGGTAAAACCGGGACAGTATATCTGACCGATCTCCGGAAACTTTCCTTACCCGCGACTGAAGCAAAAAGCGGGATCAGAAACCACGGAATACCGCGGAGTAATCCGTAAGGAGGAAAAGCCATCGGAATCGACGCGAAAGTCTCGCGGCCGACGAGAGACCGGGGAAGAAACTCGCAGCGATCGGGAAGACTCCGGCCGTTGTTTCGCGGCTCGAGCCGGGGAGAAAGCTTTCGCCGATGAAACGGCCGCGCGAAGTCGAGCATAATTCGCGAGCGTCGGCCGTATCGATCTCCGCGCCGCGAAAGGTTTCCCTTTTTCCCGGCTCCCGCTCGCGCGCCGGCTCGTCTAGCCTCTGTGATTTCCGTCTCGCCGTCGCCGAGCGTTTTCCCCGGTTCCTAACGACGCGCGCGATGTTTGCGGATTTTCCGGGGAATTTAACGCGCACACGTCCGCGATAAATATCGCGTCTCCCGCGGATTTGTCGAACGACCGCCGGCGAGCGGACGTTTGCTCTGTCAGCGGTTCCTCGAATCTCTCGACCGCGAATCGGGGGATTCGCTCGGACGTACGCGTATTAATGATTCGGCCGACGGACTTCGTTAGGAAGACTCGAATTTCCGTCGGCGAACCGTTGATTCCGTTTTCCGCTGCGCGATCATTAGCTGGTTTTAGTCTGTGGGATAATGATATGTGGAACGTCGATTTCCAATCGAGTGTTTTGAATATTATTTCGTAGCAATTTCCTGGCACATTGATTTCTGCGATTCATGTGAACAAATATGTAGTCTAGAGATAGAATAGAGTGTAAATGCTAGTAGATGTATAAAGAATTCAAATTAAAAATCCCTGAAGGGCTAAAGCAAACTTGTTCGAACTTTCTGATGCGGTTCCAACTGCGAATCTTTCTTGAACTGCGGGAACACTGTCGCGATTGACAATTGTTATAAATATCAAGACAGGTTCGAGACGAATCACAGAGGTTTCCCAGGATTCTCCTTTCCATCCCTAAGGATCGATTGCGAAGTTGGAACGCTGGAAACAACGGGAAGTCCGAGGAAACTCGACTACCAACGGAATATTTACCGCTTCCCGATTATTTATTCCGGCCGCTCCGGCGGGAATTCCGAATTCGTTGCCCGTCTTAATTAATCAATTTTCGAACGAGGGAAGTTCACTGTTTCCGCGCGGCCCGGCGAAAAGTTAATGAGAAAGAAGTTTCGTTATTGCACGGGCGCCGTGACTCGACGCCGCGCAACCCCCGTCGACCGATTAACATAACACCGTATAATTTGCGCGACGAAGCCACCCCCGGCTTCGTCTGGAGCAAGTTTAATCCTCCCCCGATTATCTTATATTTTTCCCCCCGCACGCCGACGGAATTTGCGAACTCGGCGAACCGAATTAACCGAGAATAATGTTTCTTTCGCGGTTTCCCCATGCGTTTCTCGACTTTATTCTTGCGAAGACTCGTTGCTATGAGATACCGTGTTGCGTTCGTTTGAAACGTTCAAGTAGAATGCTATTAAGACAGGCATCAACCCTTTGCGAACGAATGTCGACATTTCGGAGATGAAATTCTCATATTTGAAATACTAAGTTTCAAACGAATGAGTTCATTATTCAAACAAGAGAAGATTCTTTCTACTATTTAATCAATAGATATAATTTAGCATTGCAAAGTATCGATACGCAATTTTTTAGTTCTCTATTTCTGTTAGCGAGTTTACCATAAGTTTCCCGAGAAATAATTCGGTGAATCGATTTAGATGAGCCCAAACAGGAATATCTATAGTTACTTTCACTAGAATCTAGAGTTGACTTTATCAAACGATCAAAATATCGACGGATTAACAGAAATATCTTACGACGAATATGGAACTCCTCTCCTCTCTAACGAATCGCCAACGACGAAGATACGCTTGATCGACAGGCAATTTTGAAGGAAACGATAAAGCGGGTTCGGCGATCGGCCGTTCGAGCGGAAGCAATATTTTCCGACGCGGGATCGTTGTCGATTAATTGACGGCGCGATTATTAAATTACAAAGGTCGGGAGCGCACGCGCGGCTATGAAAAGGTTTCCCGGTCGAAATTGCAATTCGCCGGAATATTAAAGCCGGCCGGGGAAATTGGAGGTCGTGTAATTCGGTGTTTTTCATTCGACCGGGGATCGAATAATTCCCGGCTCTTTTTTTATTATGGAACGCGAACGGAATAATGGAAGAGTGACGGGGCAGCGGCGATAAATATTCTTTTTGCCCGGTGATTTTACACGGTTGTAACTTCTTCGATTTTATCGGCGCACGAGGAATAACAAACGCGCGAGAGGTTCCCCCTTTTTTTCGATCCGCTGATGCTGTGGAAATATTACGGGACGTATCAGCGCGAGATGAATAACGGCGGCGTGTTCTTTTTTTTAGTTGTAAAGCACTCTTCTTTTGTTATTCCACGAGATATTCGATTCGCAGGATTACATCGTGAGGCTGTACGAAGTGTTACGTGTTGGATCACTTACTGTTCGGATCGTGTATCCATCGCTTCTTGTCGCCAGCTTTCATTATACGCGTGTCATCCTGAAACAGAAGCAGAACACTTTCGATTAGCACCGCTGCGACAGTGGATATTTGCGGAAACGTCGATTCACCGTTCCGATTTTCGAGCGGGGAACACGTTTCGCGGTGTATATTACGCGAATCGATGAATGCGAACGATCGGGCGCGATTAGGTTCTACAATTAGGCTCCATTACGCTTGACTATGTTACATTAGACTCGACTGGAAGACCAACTGGGACCGACTAGGAGCGATTAGTTTGATTAGAATGGTGTAACTCGGAGGAACTGGAACCGACTAACGAGCTGAGGGCTGGATTGAAAATCTGTTTTTGAACGAAACCCTATGCATGTTGTAGTATATTCGAAAGAGAAGGGTTTCGAATTTGTATGTAGTGTGAGGAGACGATGAATGTTCTTCGTTTATAGATATTTATTGTAGTATATAGTAGGGTTTCGAGTGATCAAACATTAATTAGGACTCTCTAAAACCATCTAATACCAACTAGAACCTTCTAAAACTATCTAATATCAACTAGAACCCTCTAAAACGATTCAATGTCAACGAAAAACTCTCGAAAACCATCGAAGATCAACCAGAATTGCTTGACCAGGACTTTCTCCAGCCATCAAACATCAATTACGACCCTCTAAAACATTCTAATATCAACTAGAACCCTCTAAAACCATCTAATATAATCTAGAACCCTCCAAAACGATCCAATGTTAACGAAAAACCCTCGAAATCCATCGAAGATCAACCAGAATTAATAGACCAGGAATTTCTCGAGCCATCAAACATCAATTACGACCCTCTAAAACATTCTAATATCAACTAGAACTCTCCAAAACAATCCAATATCAACAAAGAACCCTCAAAAGCCATCGAAAATCAACCAAAATTCTCAAAAAAACCAACGACGACGAACACACTCCATTTCCGCGTTCCAAATTCCCAGCCGAAGTTCTCGCAGCGAATTCCCGACACGAATTCAAGCAATAATCCCGCCTACAAGCGCGGCAAGTTCCGAGCTCGTCGAAAGAGGATCCTGCAGCCGACGTTTCCGCGGTGGAAGCGTTCATCGGTCGATCCGTCGCGATACACGAAAATTTCCGAGGCAACGAGGACTCGCGAGATCGACTCCTTCGATCGGATAACGACGCGATCGTACCATCTCGGCCATTCATCACGGAACTCGGTTAACTTCTGATCGATCCGCTGACACGACCGGCCAAAGTCAGCCCAATCTCGCCGGTTATCAGCGCGTCCGGCCGACAGATTTTAGCCGGTCCCACCCCGCCGCTATTCCAGATATTATCCTCGAATTGTTGCGAACTGGCACGTGAACTATCACGCGAGCCACCGCCGCCGTTTCGCCCCTGGCTCTCCTTCCGCGACCGTCGTCGCGTCCTCGGCCTGAACTTTCAGCAAGGGAGCGAGGCAGGACCCTTTGCTCTTTTTGCAACCCTGAATTTTATTGCGCGCGATCGTTCGTTTCGGCGAACGAGGCTCGTCTCACGCTATGCTTCATCCGTCGCGCTTGAATTATGGAAAGTCATTAGCATGTATGAATCGCTCGGAATTCTGAACGACGGACAGAGCTACAAGGAAACTCCGCGTTCGACTCTGCCTTTCAGCGGCTTAACCCCTTGCCCTACAACTGAGAATCGTGCTGAAGATTTTCAACGTGACTCATCAAATATATGTATCACTCAGTTCATTCGAATTCAAATATTCCTCTGTAATCAGCTGTACTTCAAAGGAAATATAACACGTGCTTAGAATTTTTCTTTTTCTAATAAATTATTGACAGTAGCTGTATCGATCAGAGTTGAGAAAAATCATAGGCCAAGGGGTTAACACTAGGTTTAGCGCGTCAATGTGACGCGCATTGAATTTTGTGAACATCACTTGGTAAATGTTTCGGTTTTGGTTGATCCGATTACACGAATGTATATCCTAATTGTCTATTTCTAAATTCATAATTTTCAAAATCTAAACAGGCGAATGTCAACTGTTCTAGGAACAATAGAATAAACTACAATAAATGCCCGTAAACCTAGTGTTAAGTTGGTCTTGGACTAACATTCTTCTAACTCCTCGCCGATTGTCAGCGCCCGTAAAATATTGACAATGTAGCAAAGCTCGCTAGATTACTAGATCACGTGCCGAGTTAGGAACACGGTAGAACAAAGGGTAATCGAAGATAAACCTCGCGTATCTAAAAAACAAATAACATTTTACTCTCTTGCCCTTCGCAGTCCACGAGCCCGGCCCACGCCGATTCCTTTCCTTTTCTAATTTTAGGGGCGAGATCGCAGACAAAGGGAAGTTGGCGTGAGCGCGGCCGAGCAATCGGGAATTTCGTGACGAGGCGCGACCTTGAACGGCAAAAATGCAGCCGTGTCGGCACCGTCGTGAATATTTCCGTCGCTGAAAACCGCGGGCCGGGTCCCGCGAGCACGGAGGTCGCTTTAATTGGGTCACACGGGAACCGGCGCCGCGCGGTATCGCTCGCTTCCTCTTCCCTCCCGCCGGTTTCCCTAATTCGCTTCTTTTTTCCGGCCGCCATTCTTTTTCCCCGCCGACGGAATTGCGGAAGTTTCGGCGCGGGGAATTAAATTCGGGAATTGCCTTTCCATTCGGCGACCTTTCAGTTTTACGGGGCCGGCCAAAAAATTCGCCCCGCTTCTCGCGGGGTTGATTAAACTTCGCGCGGACCGTATTAAAAACGATCGAGCTTTGTACGCTTAACCGTTCGCGACCAGTGACTGCCGGCCACTAGATTTGACATAATGAAATTATAGTGTTAACACTTTGATTGACAAGTATACGCTCATCGAGACTCCGCAATCGAAGCAATTTTCTTAATAACGATGAAAGTAAGAAGTCAATATTCTAGTGTCTCACGTCTAACGGAATTCAGTTTGTTCGTTTCATCACCGAGAAAAGGAATGTTTGAGTTTATGTGAATCATGGTGTCACCCGAATTCGGCTGACATGGCAGCCAAAGTGTTAGAGTGTCGTGGTTTGTGTGACGCATCGATATGTGACGTCTTCGAATGAAACGGCTTTGTTTCTGAATTTACGTACGTTTTGCTATTAGTTTCAAGGAATGTTTATTTCTCGTGAAAAATGAATAATAAGTAGACCACCAGACTCTCAACGTTAAATATTTTCTGCGAAAGGAATGGAGGCAATAAAACTAGAATTATATATTCTCATTCGGTTTCAACGAGAACAGAGAACTATAAATGAATATTTAATGACTCCGGGAACAACGATGGTATTCAACTTAGCACGGTTTCATAACAGAATCTACTGACACCGTCCAACTCGAAGATAGATGCCCGGTGACCCCATTATTTCTAGGGTTATCACAATGTACGCGTAATTACCGAGCAGTTATTACGTAATAATAATTCGTAAGATAATTAATAGGCTTCCGCGAGCTTGTTACACACAACGCCGGAATTTACATAATAATTCTATACTTCTGCAGTCTAGTAATCCCGTGCATCGGGTAATTATACTCATTACGCAATAATAATATCATTACGCCGTTACGTAGAGCGGCAAACATCGAAGAAACGAAAAGTGTGTAGCGATACCGGAGAAGTATAATTATGAAAAGAACGATTATGGGAAGCACGCGAGAGGCGAGTTCGCCGGCCCGAGAGTTCCGCCGTTTCCGAGATGCAAATGCCGGTCCCGCCGCGAACACACAATTAGAACGGGAATGATGTTTCGCAATTAGGTGGGCGGCGACGGTGTGTACCTTCGCCGAATCGAAGATACATAGGAGGGCGCCGCGTTTTCAGCCTCTCAAATTGCCCCCGCGAATCGCTGCCTGCCCGGGACAACCTGTAATTATCATTCAACGCGAGACGGAGTGGCAGGCGGTCGGGTCTAACGCCGCGGAACGTTGGAATTTACCGCGCGCACACGATCGTCCCTGCGGAAACGTATTTCCACGGCTGTCGGGAGGCCGATTTTCGAAGAAAAATGCCGATGGTATTTGCATACCCGTCAAGGCTCAGCTTTGTCGAGGCCAGTCTCTGTTCGATGCTAGAACCACCGAGCAACCGGACTCAGCTATTTATAATTCGTTAGAAAAATTAGTAGAGTGGCGACTTAACCTGTTAGTCGATTGACAGCGACGGTACTCAGCGATGAGCTCGAAAGACACCAGAAACTGAGAAGCAGAAGAATATCGCGGAATAAAACGAAGACAGTGCAAACAATTTTTGTAATGTATAACTAGAAACACTGAGCAACGAGACTCAGCTATTTATAATTCGTTAGAAAAATTAGTGTAGACAGTAGACAGAGAAGACGCAGAGTCGTAAGTTTTGTAAAATCTTGTTTGAGTTTCTTTGTTGAATTTGTTGGTCGTTTGAAATTTACATTAGGAAAGCGGTTTCTTTGAGATTCGAAGAAGTGTCGCTGCACCGCACAGACAGTTCCTTTGATTTATAAATATTCTGAAATTTATCACGACAGCTCTCCTATCGCATTACGGCGGATTTTCGATTGTCAGCGATATTTCATCCTAGACGATGTTGTCCGAGTAATCATTTGTTCTAGGTATCGGGATTCGGCGATTTATCCGTGTCGGTTTCGTTAGAAATAGATTCCAACGATTGTCGAGATTTCGGATTTATTAGAAAGTCGTCAGTTCCGAATCCCGAGCGCGATCGCTGATCGATCGCGGGAATAAAGTACGGTTCGCGGGTTTCGCGGATTTTCGGCTGGCCCGCGTTAAGAATTACGGGACACTGTTCTGCGCGGGACAGCCTTTTTCCATCGTTGACGTACGAGTGAACGATGCATTCGACTCTGCGCTAGGTCTGAGTAATGGCGGACTGTTTCCACTGCGCGGCTCTATCTAAATCTAACGCGACTCTCGTCGGTACACTGGTCAGGATGATCTAACAATAAGTAATTCTTGACAGCGATCTTTTGTTCCTGTTTCATTCGATGGTAAGTTCAACGATAAACATGTATTTACAAGTAAACTT